ATCAGAGTTGATAGCAGTGTTCTCACAATTACTCACATTACAGAGCAGCGCTAGTAGCCTGTTAATAAAGTAATGTTCTTTTTTATTTGAGGGTCCCATTTCGTAGGGAAGATTTCACCCAACCGAAGTGACACTTGAAAACAGGGGTAGGGGTAAAAATAAGAAATGGGATTGGGCCTTAATGTCTTGTTCATTCTGTCCAAGAAGGACAATAAGTCAGAGGAGAGCATCTCGGTCTCTTCTGCAGTCGTTTTCATCAACTGGATCCCAAATGAATCTGGGCTCTGTGTAATATCAGGGGGCATAAAATAAATCTGGCTAAATCAGGAGAACTGCAGGCTGAAGAAGAATGAACACTGTTTAACAGCTTTTAGCGTTAGCTAGCTAGTTGAGGCAGCTGGTTATGGACATGTTAGCTTCAAGAAGCTCACGTTTGCTGTCGTGGCTCAGGAAACTGACAAAAAAACAACCTTGTGTTTTGTTTTCTTGCCCATTGATTCAGTTAAATCAGTTTTTTGAAAGTGTGTCGTTTGATGTGATCACATGATGCATTATTGTTGTTTTGACTGTTTTATGAAACTTGTTCCACAAAGTTCCATGAACAGCTTGCAGCTGTTGTGGCTGAGTTTCGAATGAGTTGCAGGACCCTTTACATTGCGCAACAACAAGTGCAATTTAGGTACATGTAGGGTTCAAACAACAAAATTTGCATGAATATTTTCACCATGTAAAGCCAGCCATATCTATCTGTCTATCTATCTATCTATATCTTAAATATTTCCTAGTTTATCTTTTCTTAATAAATGTTTCTGGAATTTTTTAATCACATGATTTGTTGTTCTGTTTTCCATTTTCATTGATCGCCTTTTAATTAATCATCAACATAATAGATTACTCAATTACTAATATAATTGATGGTCACAGCCCTGTGCTTCTTATCAAATACAGACACTGTTGTATGGTGATAAATGCGTACAAAAATATATTCTCCTGAAATATTTTGTTTTTTGCTAAATAAATTTTAAAAAATTGAGCAAGATTTTTTATATAAACAACATACAAATCTGTCCTACGAACGAAAACATGAACTTTCTGGCACCAACCATTTATGAACAGTTCAGCCAAGATGAGTGCAAATGAAACAAATCTCATATCTCAGGTTAACTGTAATGTACTGAGGGGCTAGTTGAAATAGTCGCTATAAAGTCTGGTAAATCAAACCCAACTAATGCAATTCTATGTTGTTTGAACCAGATCAACAACCAGAATACATTAAAATAGATTCATCAAAATAAAGATGATTAGTGAAAAGAGGCTGTGTCAAACTCTCAGAAAAAAGGTACTAAATTGTCACTGTGCTGCCCCCAAGGGTACATCTTCAGTACCTTAAGTTATTATACTGTAATTCATTGTAGTGTTTTTTTTTTATTTTAACTTGTATCAACTCCACTCACCCTGTCTTGACACCAACTTTTTTATTATTCTGTTTTAAAAATATTGGTTATGAAAACTTACAAATATGTATGTTTTCTTCTGGGAAAAACATATATAAGGTGCATAATTTGACCAAAAAAAACACTGTTGTACCTTTGAGGGTAACATTTACAGTGTATACCTTGATGAACAGTTTATGATGTGTTTTTAATAAATCTGTGCATAAAAAATTATTTTTTTTAGAATGGATTTTTTCATTGAATTGATTAGGAGGCTTAGATGTGACTGTAACAGCCAGACAAGCTGCTAGGCCACCTCTGACCGCTAGGAGGGGCTGGAGATCCAAGACTGAGTAATTCGAGCTGAGCGGTAACAGCTGAGGGCACCCTACTTAAGGGGTGCTCACACACTGCTCGGTGCTCAGTCTTGGGCTCATGCTGCTATGCACGTGTTGCTCTGACTCAGCTGGTAACTGCAGTATCCATTTAGAGTCTTTGCTTTATTGTTCTCCAGCATAATTATTAAAAAAAAATAAAGAAGGTTTTTGGTTTCAGTTTTGGGAAGCTATTAGTTTGGGTCATACTATTAAGTCTTTAGCATGGCCATTATGCCCTTTGGTGGCATACTGCATAGCATGTTAGTCTGCAATGTGGTGGTTGAGGCTTCGAGCCCCCCATGACCAGCTGCTTTCCTTGTTCCCTTTTTAATTTGTTCCTTCTCTAGTTTGTTTTCCCAGTTCTTTGCGCCTTTTGTTTCTTTTCTGAATTGCACCTTGTCCCAACACTCAGTTGCTCTGCACTTGAGGCCGTCCTCTAGTGTTCGCCAGGTGGTTTGTCTTGTAGCTCCCGACTACTAACATAAGAGTTGTGAGTTCGATCCTCACTCAGGGTGCGTTACAGTGGCACTGCATTAAAACTACCTCCACCATGTGGAGGCTGTACTTTAGACTGTCTAGCTCTCGCTTTGAGTTATTTACAACAAAATAGTTTCCAAACAGTGCAATATTGCAGCCAGTGAGATGTTGAGTAAAATAATAAGACTGAATTCTGTGACTTTTACACACAACTCAGTTATAACACTTATAAAAAGTTGCTTTTATGGTATAAAACAGGGTAAATTATGAGAAATATCCATCTGAATGCTGTCAGAATTCACTGATGAGGTTGCTGTTGACATACAATAATGTGATTAAAAGCGTGTTCTGCTTGAACCTGTTTAGCTACATGAAAAGGTCCATGTTGTATTTTACACCATGTTAGTTTGTGCCCCACTCTCCCCTTCCTCTGAACCAGGGGTCACCAATCCTGTCTGCACTGACAAGACTAAGACTAACTGATCAAATTACCTGATTAAAATAAGTGAAGTCAGCTTGATCGGAATGAAAACCTGTAGCCACACCAGCCCTGTGTGGATAAAATTGGTGACGCTGCTCTCGACTATGTATCATACATGTATTCCCTGCTAAAAAAAAACAGCATAGATCAGCATGGGTCACCAACAAAACCAGCATATGTTGTGTTTTGGATGCTGGTGTGCTGGTCAACCAGCTTGACCAAGATGGGAGCAGCTAAACCAGCAGCAGACCAGCATAAACCAGCTTTTATTTATTTTTATTTTTATTTTATATTTAGCAGACCAGTTTAGACCGGCATGCATTCCATGTTGATGATGGAAACAGATCAACCACTAGAAAATGCTTCATGCTGCTCTGTGCTGTTTTTTCAGCAGGGTTCTAAATCCCTGAGATACATTCCAAATACACAGAAATGTTCATTATGAAAGCAACATCAATAAGTTGTAATAATAAGTTAATAATCCAAAAATCAGATTTTGTCAGTAATCTGATCAATATGTTTATATGCACTTGAGTAATCAGATAATGGGAAATTCCAGGTCTACATGAGTCAGACAGTAATCACATTTCTGCTTTGGAACCAGCCAATAAACTCACAGAAGAAGACGTGACATAAATGTAATGTAAAACTCAAACTTCATGCCGTGGCTTTTTGTTCAAACATCGTGCCACTTTACCTGAAAATATGAACACACATCATCTAGAAGATCAAGAATATTTGAATCCTTCATGTTGTTAAGCATGTGGTTGGTTTCAGTGTCACTCCAAAAGGATTTTGTTGCCATCTCAGCGCAACGCTGCTTGCTTATTTCCGGTACCGCCGCCTGTTTTTCGCACATGTGCAAGCTGAGAAATCCGAAAGAAATCAGAGTAAGAGTTTACAAGCACTGAGAAATCTGATTACTGAGCTAAAATCTAGCTCTGTTTATCAGATTTCTTAATCGGGTTTCTAGACCTTACTTTGATCTTAGAAATCAGAGTATGCTGTTTACATGACCATTTGAATAATCAGACTGCAGAAATCTGATTATGATTATTGAGTGCATGTAAACACTCACTGAGAAGGATGGAGAGACGACACTTAAAAGTAAAAACTCTCACTGAATATACATCATTTCTTTATTTAAATCATTCATATTTACAGCAAATGTGATCAATGTACCAGAAGGCTCTGAGTATATCAGTCAGCCCAGCTTAGCCAAATGTTTAAACATTCAGTCAACACTGATGGGATTTAGGCTTTAGGCTTTCGGCAGATAAGGGAATCTCTGCGGACTAGTAAACAAAGCTTGGTGATCACACACTCACACACACACACACACACACTCTTTAACACACTCTCTTTTGTTCCCACACACAATGAAAGAGCTTCCTGGCATAACTGTAAACAACTAAGACTGATGTCGGCCTGAGGAACAAAGCTTAATCATGCGCTAGAGCACACATATGTCCAGCCATGAAACATGAGGACTGAAACACGTCACGGACACATAGCCATGAAGAAAGTGCAACATCAATATCAATCGGCTAACACACTAAAATTAGAGGCTAGCAATGAAGTCCGTTTCAGCCGATGGGAGCACAGTAGCGATGGATCGTTTGTGAATGATTGGCACTTTTCGAGCGGCTCATTGAGGTGAACACTGGGAGTCATTCAGTCATGCTTTCAGAAGTATTGAATTTTGAACAGTTCCTGGTGAGAGACAATTTTACCTCGCCTTCAGTGGCAATCATTACTTTTACAAAGTCCAAGTTTTAGAAATATCAGTAATATCAAGATGTTACTGTCCTTAGCTGTGGGGTTTTTTTTTTTTTGGAAAAATGATTTGTTATGAGTGTTTCCGAAGTGCTTATTCTGCCATTGTGAGGTGCAACTCGAAACTGAAAGGTAGTTCTTTAAGTACATCGCTAGATAAGTTTGGGCACCCTTGTTGAATGAATTTTGTTGATTTATTTTTATTTTAAAGCAGCCTTATGCATTTTGCTTTTGGGCTCCCCCTACAGTTGCAGGGTATATCTCACTTTTACACCACTGTTGTAAAAACAAATCATGCTGTGAGCCCTCCTCTTGTACACGTGCATTTGTTAAGAAGCTGAAGGTTACAGAATCCGTCACGCAGGCATATGGATGCTACAGATTACACTTGCGATATTTCAGTTGTTTCTTTGTGCAAATAACCAAAATTATGAGTGTAACCTGTAGCGTCCATATGTCTGACGCATGAGCATGCAAAGGGGAGTCTGTTAGGGACACGGAATTTGGCACAACAACCACAAGAGAAGAGAAAGAACCATGTTGACTTACAAGTACAGTAAGTAGTTTTAAAAGATTTTAGTACAGAAGGTTGCAAACTTTCAAGTTTAATTTGGCGTAAGAACTCTGACCAAGATTTTTGGCATGAGATGAATTAATTTCTTTGCATGCTAGCCTGAAATGGGACTGAGGTTAGGCGACTTTTGGCATCCAGAAAAACTACAAAACTTCTGTGAGACAGGGGCGACACAGATAAGGTTACGCCTTGCGTCGCAGTCTTTCAAAAATAACACTGGCAGTGATGTAACTTACACTCTGCTGTCCGATTTTCGTTGTTTTCCTGTTAGCCGTGAGACTGTCTTACATCCTTTTATCTCCTTTAGCTCTCGCAAATGAGTAAAAGCCAGTCTGAGATTTACTCTTGCTCGGTCACTCTCTCTTTTTCTCTTCCTAGCTTTCTTCGATGCCATCTTCTTTAGTCTTTTGGCAGATTCTGCCATGATTTCCATGCTGGGAATACTGACCTGGCTTCTTCTCAAAGCAGGCTGAACAGCCATAGTTGTTGGTGCCATAAAGCATTATGCAGTTCTCACAAGAGTTCTCATGCCTGCTCCTCCAAAGTTACATAGCACTATAGCAGGCGTTCCAGGCCCAGAGTAGACATGACAGAGCCATTCTCTCTATTATAAGTCAGTGTACCATCAAAATGATTTTATTTTCAGGTAAAATTGTTTTATAATGTGGCTTTAGGTGAAAATATGTTAACACATCATGTGATAAATAAATAGTGTGTGCTTAAATTAGCAGAAGAAATTTAAGATTGTTCACTGTGGAAGATGTGTTTTTTGCCAAACTTTTGCATTCAAAAATAGATGAAATAGTTGAAACCTCAGGGATCAGGTTGCAGCTCAGTGTACTACAATCGAGGGGTGTCCATTCTTATCCACAAAGGGCCAGAGTGGCAGCAGGGTTTGATTTCAGCAAAGCAGGAGATCACTGAAACCATTTGATTGAAGAACTGGAATCAGGTGTGTTCTGGTTTGTTTGAAATGAAAACCTGCAGCCACACCGATGGCAGGTAAGATTGGACTCTCCTGTTTTGATCTAAATAATCTTAATAGGGTACAGCTTGATCACTTTTGAGTCTTAAATAAATTTTATCCAAGCTTACAGTGTTTAAGCTAACTGAAACTGGTGCAGAGATGCATGCACAGAAAGGTTAAGCCTATGTATTTAGGAGAACAACTGAGCCAAAGAACCAAAGACAAAAAGCTCTGAAAAAAGCTGGCTCCTAAAAAAGGCTTGGATTGTCCATGTTAAGTTCAGGCTATGCTGGAAGTGTATGACGTTTTTTCTGCTTTCTCCATCTTGCATGCCTTCAGTGACATGCAGGGACTCAAACACCAGCCCTGCAGACAGGGTTTTGCGGATTTTCAGTGAGCGTGTCACTCAGAAAACAGGCTGGTGTGTTTTATATGCTGCTGCTGCTTAATGATTCCACTTTCACAGTCTGCATCCTGGCTGCACAGAGACCACGAGAGATGAAATCTTAAGACGGCTGAACTGTTTTGCTGCCGACTTTGTTCACACAGCCACATTCATATTACACCAAATCAGAAATATTTACATTCATTATACATTTTCATCTGTCTTCATTGATTTCTTTGACTGATTTGTCTCTTTTCGCAAGCATGCATTTCCATGTCAAAGGAATGTCTCGCTTACTAAATACTACTAGATATCTGTTGTCGTAGAACATCTGTATCCGTGCTTAAGCCTAAAATAGACTTCACTCAACTGGCCAATATAGAAAAACTCAAATTGAAATTTGTTGACTGCATGAGAAAGCATAGTTTAAACTGTCAACCACAGGCCTATTTATTCACTCACTGGAAACTTCCTGAAGTTATTGACTAGGCTGATGCCCAGGCCTGTGTGATGATAATAATAACAGACATGCTTACTTCATTCTGTCCAGAGAATACGTTTGCATAATATTTAGAAGTATTTCATTGTGTGCCAGTATACTGTTTGGTGTTGTTGTTGTTGTTGTTGTTGTTGTTGTTGTTGTTAGGCAACCACAGTCAATACTGTCATGGCCTAAAAGTGGCCAAGGTAGCAATGGTACCTAAGTCATCCCCAAAACTGTGATGGCCTAAAAGTGGCCTAAAATGTTGCTGTTACCAAGGCAATCAACACTTTTGGGGCCCAAAAGTGTTCCTGTTACCTAGGAAATCACAGTTAACTCTGTCTGGGCCCAAAAGTGTTCCTGTTACCTAGGAAACCACAATCAACACTGTTGATAGCCCAAAAGTGATGTTGTTACCTAGGCAACCATAATCGACACTGTCATGGCCAAAAGCATTGCTGTTACCGAGGCAACCACAATCAACACTGTTGACAGCTCAAAAGTGCTGTTGTTACCTAGGCAACCCAATCAACACTGTTGATAACCCAAAAGTGCTGTGCATACCTAGGGAACTACAATCATCACTGTTGACAGCCCAGAAGTGTTGCTGTTATCTAGGCAAACATAATCAACAGTGTTGATGGCTAAAAAGTGATGTTGTTACCTAGGCAACTACAATCAACACTGTTGACAGACCAAAAGTGTTGCTGTTATCTAGGCAACCACAATCAACACTATTGATGGCTCACAAGTGCTGTTGTTACCTAGGCAACCACAATTAACACTGCTGTGATCCAGAAGCGTTGCTGTTACCTAGGAAACCACAATCAACACTGTCGACAGTCCAAAAGTGCTGTTGTTACCAGGCAACCACAATCAACACTTTTGATAGCTCAAAAGTGCTGCTGTTACCTAGGAAATCACAATCAATGTTTTGGCTGTTACCTTGACAACGACAATTAACATGGTTGTTAGCCCAAAAGTGTTGTTGCTGCCTAGGCAACCTAATTCAACACTGTCATGACCAAAAGTAGCTGAAAAGTCTTCTTGTTACAGGCAACCACAATCAATTCTGTCAATGCCCAAAAATGGTCCAAAGTCTTCGCTGTTACCTAGGCAACCGCACTCAATGCTCCGACCAGCGTGGCTGTTAACTAAGCTAGTGAACCAACATAGTGACCCAAAAGTGTTGCACGACTAAAACGCTGTCCAGGCCCAAAAGTAAGTAAAGAGTAAACATGGCCATGTCTAGGACTTGAGCGGGATGTTGTGGCTGGCTCTGCGAGGGAAGTCCAGCACTACAGATTGGCTGGACTTGCGGGAGTTGCATGGTTCCTTCCATGAGTCGTAGGCACCGGCGGGGTTCCGGGCGGCAGGCGCTTTGCCCACCATGGTGGTCCTCTGCACGCTGCCGTCTGAGCCAGAGCGGCCTGAGCGGCCAGGCTGCCAGCACGGGAGGCAGCGTAGGAAGTCGTGGAGGAGGTGACCGCTGAACAGCATGTAGATCCAAGGGTTGCAGCAGCTGTTAAGACTGGCCAGCAAAGCTGAAAGGGTCACTGCCGTGTTCTCTGAGTCTGGAGGGAGGAGACAGGGGAGATGAGGGATGAGGAGAGAGACCAGGGGGTGAACATGAGGGGAAGATAAACTGTAGTGCACTCGTGGAGGAGTGTTAAATGAATTGTTTTCACATCTCAATATATTAAGCAGCCCTGTCTGGAGCACAGCTCAGCCAAAATAGATTAGTTTGCAGGAAAATGCATGAATTCAAATTTAATTTAGCAAACAAATCAAATTAATTAACATTTTAGTTGCATTTCATGTAAGTTTTCCTAAAAGAATTACACAACAGTTACACAGAGTTTATGTTCGAAGTGTGGAAAAAAAAATGCCATCCTCACCATTCTTTTTCTCCACACTTCCTTAGAGCACTTATTGCACCAGAGTTAGGAGATACAAACAATAAGCCTTGGAATGATATACACATGTGCAGTGTTATCTCTTGAGCTAAAACCCACAGTGTCCACCTAGACATAAACAAACAACGAGAGCTGAGAGAACTCAACCTCAAGGATTTTTCAGTGCGATAAGAAGCTGCACAGTGTCCAAAATGACAAAATCCAGAGATAAACTGTACTGTCTGCACATTTGTTAGGTCACCCTGGATAAGTGCATCCAAATGAATGAATCTAAGGCTATATATACACAGCAGGTGAAAAGTGTCCCAAATCTGATCTTTTTCTTCATATGCGACACAGATGTGTTGTCAGTGTGTCAGTGTGAACAACAAAAACACACTGAATCTGACATTTTCAATTCCGATTTGAGATGCTTTTATATGTGGTACTGAAATCTGATACATATCTGATATGCAGCAATGCGACACAGTCTGAACAGCCAGATCGGAATTCATGCAACTCTTACATCAATCCAACTGGACATTCGTCATCATTTTGTGCTGCTGAGACCTCATAAACATTTAGGCTGATGTTTCTGTTCCAAACAATTAGAAGAGACTTATCCGAAACACCTCAGTGTTCAGAGAGATTTCGAAAGAAATTACTGAACGCAGCCATAGGAGAACGAGGCTGCAGCATCAAGAAAAAGTTTAAAGAATCCGAGGACGCAAACCAAAGAAGTGACCGTGGCCGAATAACGTGCACTTTTTACGGTGAGCTCAAACACAGTCTGGGTGATGAGCCCAGCTGTCAGTCAGTGAAGCTTCATGATGGCTCCTGTGACGCTGGCGAAGATGAAACCTTCGGGAGCGACTGGCGTTTGTTCATAGTCGTGATTGTTTAGCTCTGGATGAGCCACGTGAAGCTCTGTTCTTTTGCTCATGCGGATCAGTTTAGGAGCTGATCTGTTCAGACTGATGTCGCATACAGATCACATTTAAAAAGATAATGTGAACAGCCAAACAAAAAAATCGATTTGGTGAGAAAATCAGGTGTTTAAAATAAGGATAAAGAGGTCATATAAAAATGAATTATGTCTATTTGCGGTACAAAAACCTATACAAACATTTTGTGTGACCTCTGGGACAAAAATAAAATCCAAGAAAAATACAGAATATGGGTCCTTTAAATTCAGCCTCTTATTCTAAATGTTCATCGTTTCTGTATTTACTGGGTTGATGCTTTTACAAATCCTATATCAAGCATGATCATTTAGTCACTGTAAAAGGTTATTTAGACTAGTGATTGAGTTTCTCAAAAATTTAAGCCAATCAAGTTGTTTACTCTTTTAAACTGAGAACATCTTTCTGAATGCTCCATCTTTATAAGCTACCTTAAGTGTATGTGATGCTTTTGTATTTGTTACAAGGATCCAAGCTGTAGAAATGAAATAGAAACATGTCATAAGAATTAATAGCTTAAAGTCACACTGCAAGAAATGACATCTTAGCAAGTGAAAAATTCTTAAATGTAGTCAATATATCAATAATAATAATAATAATATTATATTCTTATATTCTTATAATATTCTTCATTATGAGATTTATTTTATGAAAGTATCTTATTCTAATGACAGATCATTTTACTTGTCTTAAGCATTATTTCTCCAAACAAGATCGGCCAGTGGAATAAGATAAAATAACTTAAAACAAGTCAAAATGTATAGAAACAGGTTGAATAATTTTCTTATAGTCTTACAACAATCAATAAGTTGTTCAGATACTAAAACGGTAAGATTTAAGGTTTTCATCTCATGTGTGATTTCACTGGGTAAGGTGCATAAACCCAGTGATATTAAACCAACTACAATACTCAAGTTACTTAAACTACTGATACACCCAGACTTAAACCCAAGATCTTTAAGTTAAATAATAAATATGAGTGTTAATGGTGATTCCCTTATGCCAAAACATTTAGGGGTGTTTTTTTAACCTTTTGTCCATAACCATGATATGATATCTTCAGAAGACTGCCACACAAATGTATTGAACGTTTTGGAATAGAGCACCTTTATTAGACACTTGACACTCTGAAACCAATTATATTGAACTCAACTGAACCACTGACAAATTAAGTTTAACCTCATACCAAGCCATGGTCCCACCAGCACGCCCCAAGTTTTATTATATACTTCTATAAACTAAGAAAAGCTCCATTAGTTTGCTTTGAAGTCCCCGTAGTTAAGGAACGATAAGTCTTAGTACGGAATAAGCCTGGAATGTTAAGGTGTTAACCAATGACATTGTCAGGTCAGTGAAATTAATGCTATTTATCACTCAGTGCTAGATCAAGTCAGTGAAATCAATGATATTTATGACAGTTTAAGCCAATGATCAATTAAGTAGCCCATCATATGTCAGTTTAATCAATGATAAACAGAGTTAACTATAAAAGTAGAGTTACTTAAACCTCTGACACATCAAACCAAAGATATTTAAGCTAATAAACCAATGATGGTGGTTCCCTATGCCAAAACACACTGGGGTGTTTTTTTAACATTTGCCTGCATTCATGATATAATAAAGACTTTCATTTCCAGAAGAGTTCCATGGAAATTCATTACTGGCTCTTTTGGACCTCTGTTTGTGGAGCACCTTCATCAGACACTTAATAGCACTTTCTTGTCTGGAACCAATTTTGTGTAACTCAGTTGAACCACTGATAAACAAAGTTACCCAATGACATTGAAGACAATGAAATTAGTGCTATTTATGTCAATTTCAGCCACCGATCAATGAAGTTAATCTAATGTGGTCTTAACAAGTGATGCACTGAGTTAAAACTACAACAGCCAACAGTTACGTAAGCCACTGACACATTAAACCAAATATATTTAAGGTAATTACCAATGACGGTGGTTCTCTGCCAAAACGTTTAGAGGTGGTTTTTCAACGCGTGTCCTTCGCCATGATATAATAAAGACTTTTTCATTTCCAGAAGAGTGCTTTGGAAATGTTACTGGACGTTTTGGAATGCTTTTGATAGAGCACCTTCATCAGACACTTGATAGCATGTTCTACTCTGGAACCAATTTCGTTTAATTCAATTGAACCAATTACATTGAGGCCAGTGAAATCAATCCTATTTATGTTAGTTTTGACCACTGCTTAATGACATCTAAACCAATGATAAACTGCAAAGCTGAAACCACAACACTGAAGTGGTGGTTCCTTATGCAAAACATTTTAAGTGTATTTTTTTAAACATTAGTCCATAGCCATGATATAATAAAGACTTTTTAATTTCCAGGAGAGTGCCATGGAAATGTTATTGGACTTTTTGGAATCCTGTTTATAGGGCACCTTCATCAGACACCTGTTAGCACTTTCTTCTCTGGAACCAATTCTGCATAACTCAGTTGAACCACTGATATATGTGAACGTAATAACATTGAAGTCAGTGAAATCAATGCAATTTATATCAATTTCAGCTACTGTTTAATGATGTTAACCCAATTAGAAGTCTTAATCAATGAAAAACTACAACGCTGAAACAACAGTAGCCAAGTTACTTAAACCACTGATCCACTAAAAAACATATTTAAGTTAAGAACCAATGATGGTGATTCCTTACGCCAAAATGTTTAGGAGTGTTTTTGTGACATGTGTCCATAGCCATGATATAATAAATACTTGTTAATTTCCAGAAGAGTGCCATGGAAATTCATTACTGGCATTTTTGGACCACGTTTTATAGAGCAGACGCTGATGAATCACTGATAAACTAAGTTAACTTAATGACACTGAAATCAACTTAACTTAATGAAATCAGTGGAATCAATGCTATTTATGTCAATTTCAGCCAAATGTTTAGAGGTGTTTTTTTTATGTTTGTCCATAGCCATGATATAATAAAGACTTTTTACTTTCCAGAAGAGTGCCACGGAAGTTCATTACTGGACTTTTTGGACCCTTGAGAGAGACCACCTTCATCAGACACCTGATAGCACTTTCTAATCTGGTACCAATTTTGCATAACTCAGTTGAACCACTGATAAACTGAACTTAATGACTCTTAATGACACTGAAGTCAGTGCAATTAATGCTATTTATATCAATTTCAGCCAAACGTTTAGAGGTGTTTTTTAAACGTTTGTTTAAAAATAGCCATGATATAATAATGACTATTTTCTGCAAGAGTGCCATTACTGGACTTTTTGGACCCCTGTTTATACAGCACCTTCATTACAGCACTTTCTACTCTGGAACCAATTCTATTTAACTCACCTGAACTGATGACAAACATATACATCAAATAAACTTTAATAAAACTTTACACTTTAAAATCCCAGGTTTATTACATAGTACAGCTTATTATTCAATAACTACACAGACTGCAATGCAAACTACACTCTTAAAAATGATGGTTCTTCAAGGGTTCTTTAGTAAAGAAAATGGTTCTATACAGAACCATGAACACTTCAAGAACTCTTAACTCCTTGAGACCACCGGTGGTTCCAAAATGCATTTTGTCATATTCTTCATAACTTTCATATTTCATAAGCTACATTCAAAAGGTGGGGGTCGTATGAGAGCTGTAACTGTCTTCTCTCCAGTCAAATAGATGGGTGATGTAATTTTAAACCCTTATAATAAAAGAAGCTGAAAGTCGACCCATTTTTCCGCAAATCTGGTCTATAAACTATAAACAGATGGCGTCTCTTCAGTGATGCTCTGTAAAAATACAAAGAGCGTCTAAGATTTTTGGCTTTCAGCAGTAAATTGTAAGCCTATAGCAATATGTGCATCATAAAACACATGTTCTGTTAATTTGAGAGGAGTTTTTACAAAAAAAATAAAAAATAAATAAAATAAAAACTTACATTTATTTCATGCAGTTACTGAATAATTTGCCTAATGATTTGATCACGTAAATTCAGATAGAAAAACCAAAAATACACCCTGGAGAATAAGAGGTTCTTTCCATCGTTAAATGGTTCTTCAGATTGATGGAGAATGTGTTGTATGTGGTCCTATTTGGAGCCTTTTTGATGAAGGTCTTATGTAGCATCCAAAAGGGTTCTTCTATTGTTATGATGTCAAACTTGTAACGATAGAAGAACCCTTTTCGGTGCTATGTAGAACTCTTTTCAAAAAGGTTCTCCATCAGTCTGAAGAACGTTTTTACAATGTAAAGAACCATTCAATTATGCAAAGGGTTCTTTGGGTGTTCGTGGTTCTATATGGAACCATTTTCTTTACTAAAGAACCCTTAAAGAGCCATCCTTTTGGTTCTTTGGTTCAAGTGTGCAGCTCTGCTGTTCTTAGGTTATAGAAGTGTGTGGTAAAACTTTGGGCCCGCCGGTGGACCCTGGCCATTTCCATTAAGTTAAGAACCAGTTGTGGTGGTTCCTTATGCCAGAACCTTTAGGGGTGAATCAGTGAAGTCTTACCGTGCCAGGAGAACTCCTCGTCCCACACGGACCACATCTGCACGACGAAGAAAGGCGCCCAGCACACGACGTAGGCGAGCACGATCACGAAGGTCATCTTGACCGTCCTCAGCTTGGCGCGCGAGATGGTGGACACGCCGCTGACCCGCGCTCTCCCCACCAGCGCCCCCACCGCCCCCGCTTCTCCCCGCGCCTTGCCCTTCACGTTCCTCCAGATGCTGCGGCAGATGAGTCCGTAGCAGAGCGCGAGCGCCAGCACGGGCACGAGGAAGATGCCCGCGGCGATCCACGTGACGTAGGCGCGCACGCCCCACGGCTCGATGAAGTGGCCCCAGCAGTCGTAGACGCCCGAGCCGGGGCGCACCTCGCTCAGCGAGAAGATGAAGTACTGCGGCGCGCTCAGCACCACGCTGCACAGCCACGTGGCCGCGATGGTGGCGCGCGCGCGCCGCGCCGGCCGCCGCCGCAGCGTCTCGAGCGGGTGGCACACGGCCAGGTAGCGGTCCACGGTCATCATCACGAGCATGTAGGCGGACGCGAACATGCCCAGCACCTGCGCGTGCTTGACCACGCGGCACAGGAAGTCCGGCCCGTAGAAGCGGAACGTCACCTCCCAGCACAGCTGCGGCAGCACCTGGAAGAAGGCCACCACCAGGTCGGCCAGGCTCAGGTGCTTGATGAAGAGGTGCACGCGCGAGCCCTTTTTGTTGGCGCGCCGCACGGCCAGCAGCACGCACGCGTTGCCCGCCACGGCCACCAGGAAGGTCGCGCTCAGCACGCCGATCTCCAGCTTGGCCACCTCCTCATTGCGCCCGAACGGGTCGCCGCTGCCGTTCACCGCCGCCTCCGCACTGCCGTTGGCACCCCCGGAGCGCATCGCTCGCCCGGGAGATCAAGACGCGCACACAAGTCTGGATTCCGCGCGCCGCTCCGGCGCCGTGGAGAGCCTCCCGTGGGGCAGCGCGTGCCTCTTTCCCTCCGTCATGCGTGTGGACAACAGGGGGACTCCCTCGTTGGATGGCTCTAACGCGCGCGGTTTTGGCACCCGGGAGCGCGCAGAAGGGCGCAGATTGCTGGGATCGGACTGGGGCTGGAAAACTGCGCCAGCTGCCCGTCACCACAAGACGCGCGTCGCCTTTCTAAACCCGGCCCAGCCGCTCGCGCTTAAAAAGGAAGCCTCAAAGTGCCGCCTCCTCCTCCTCCTCCTAATCCCTCCTCTCCCTCTCCTGAAGACCCCGAGTAACAACCGTCAGGCGCGAGCACAGTCCTTCTTCTTCTCTACAAAACAAGGACCAAAACGCCCCCAAACTCGTCGTTATCGACGCCTCATCAACGTCGCCAAATTCTCATTCATGCGCAAAACAACACGATGCGCAGCCAAGCTGTGGAAAACAGCAGCACCACAAAACACCCCTGCTGAAAAAAGACCATTAGAAACAGCCATTAAGATTAAAACCTAATGGGTTTGCTTTTTAATGAGAATTGGCTAAATGATTTCCAATAAATACCACATTTTCATGCAGAACACCTTTAAATCGCATTAGGGAACCCATCAAATGCACTTAGAACCAGCCACTGATTGGCATTGGGGTGAATCAGTGAAGTCTTACCGTGCCAGGAGAACTCCTCGTCCCACACAGACCACATCCAGCACACGATGTAGGCGAGCACGATCACGAAGGTCATCTTGACCGTTCTCAGCTTGGCGCGCGAGATGGTGTACACGCCGCTGACCCGCGATCTCCCCACCAGCACCAGTCACCTGTTCAACCATTTGGGTCCTTTACATAGTGCTATCAACCCCTTAAAAAGCCAAAACACATTACAAAACCATCAGGAACCAACAGAAACACTTAATGGTTTCAGTGTTTTTTTTTTTTTAGCAGGGACGATGGGCACTGTGGCACGCACACATTCAAAAAAACATGAAATCGCTCTGTGGTTGGTTTTATTCCATTTTCTCTCATTGAAGTTACTTGAAGGGGAACTCCACCAATTTTGCCAAATTACTCAATCATTCAGTGGTTTAGATGTAAACAAAACCATGCAGAGTGGTTTGGTGTGAAATGCGCCAGAATTGTTCACCATTATAGTACTAGGAACCAGACACTGGCTACTGGCTACGTCCCGTAGCTTTTGTTTACTGTTTATTTTTACAGTTTTCTTACCTATTATTGAAGACTCAGAGTGTGCGGAAGACTTTGAGAGGGTCTGTTGTGTGTCTTTCAGTAAAATTCAGTGAGTGGTCAGGTTGACTTTGTAAGTGTTTGATTGGTCAGTGTAATCTTTTGCTTGTTTTTTCTCCCCCTCTTCATGTTGTCTTTCCTCCTGGCCTTGCTTTCCTTTGGTGTGCGTTTATTATGTGCTTTATGGCTAAATTCCATGCTGATTTATGCTGGTCTTGTGCTGGTTTAACTGGTCACCCAGGTCATGCTAACATCCAAAACACCTCATCATACTGGCTTTCTTGGTGATCAGCCATGCTGGTCTATTCTGGTGTTTCTAGCAGGGCTGCCCAGTCACTTTGATGTCAGTGCTGTTTACCATGTAACTTAGTAACTGCTGAGCGTAATTCTGCAACAGGTCAATGGTACAATAATAACTTATTGAAATGATGTAGATCTAACTTTATTTCATTCATTTTATGTCTTTTTACCACTGTGATTTCCTTGTATTCACTGAGTATGTTACTAAAGTGAACATCTTAAAAGCTACTGAATCCAGTTGCATAGAACAACGTGACATGACATATTTGAACATTTGTATTTAACATTTTAAGGTAAATATATAATATATAATAGTAATATATAAAATAGCTTGTCCAGTTCATTAGGATTTACTCAAATCACTTCATTGCTTGAATGTGATTTGCTTGAATTCATTAAGTACAACCCCAATTCCAAAAAGACTGGGATGCTGTGTAAAAAGTAAATGATTGTAAATAAAAACAGAATGCTATGATTTGCAAATCTCATAGACCCAGATTTTATTTACAATAGAACTTACAACACATATCAGATGTTGAAAGTGAGACATTTTACCATTTCATGAAAAACAATAACTCATTTAGAACTTGATGGCAGCAACGCATCTCAAAAAAGTTGAGACAGGGGCAACGAAAGGCTGGAAAAGTAAGTGGTACTAATAAAAAAACAGCTGGAGGAGCAATTTGCAACTAACTCATGTGACTGGGTATAAAAAGAGCATTGTAGAGAGGCAGAGTCTCTCAGAAGCATAGATGGGCAGAGGTCCACCAGTCTGCGAAAGAGTGTGTCTAGAAATTGTGGAACAATTTCAGAAAAATGTTCCTCAACGTAAAATTGTAAAGACTTTGGATTTCCCACCATCTACAGTACATATCATCAAAAGATTCAGAGAATCTGGAGAAATCCATGTACGCAAGGGACAAGGCCGACGGTCAATATTGGATGCTCGTGATCTTTGGGTCCTCAGACAGCACTGCATTAATCCAGCTTGTTATCAGCGCACAGTTCAAAAGCCTGCATCTCTTATGGTATAGGATCGCATTAATGCCTATGGCATGGTCAGCCTACACATCTGGAAAGGCACTATCAATGCTGAAGGTTTTAGAACAACATATACTCCCATCCAGACAACGTCTCTTTCAGGGAAGGCCTTACATATTTCAGCAAGACAATGCTAAACCACATACTGCATCCATCACAACAGGATGGCTTCACAGAAGAAGAGTCCAGGTGCTGAACCTGCAGTCAGCCTGCAGTCCAGACCTTTCACCAATAGAAAACATTTGGCGCATCATGAAATGAAAAATCCAGCCCAGAACTGTTGAGCAGCTAGAATCCTACATCAGACAAGAATAGGAAACATTCCTCTCCCAAAACTCCAGCAATTGGTCTCCTCACTTCCCAGACATTTACAGACGGTTGTTAAAAGTAAAGGGGATGCTACACAATAGTAGACACGGCCCTGTCCCAACTTTTTTGAGATGCATTGCTGCCATCAAGTTCTAAATGAGTTAATGTTTTTCAAGAAATGGAAAAATGTCTCACTTTCAACATCTGATATGTGTTGTATGTTCTATTGTGAATAAAATATGGGTCTACGAGATTTGCAAATCATTGTATTCTGTTTTTATTTACATTCATTTACTTTTATTACTCTATCAAGTATCTTGCAAGCCACTTAACACTGATGCATGAAGCCACTTGATAACATTTTTAAGTAAATCCAACATTTCTTTTTTTTTTGAGTGTAGTAGTGATAGTGCTTTACCTCTCTTTATAACGTCGGTTAAAAGTGAGTATAGGGTTTAATGCTGTTGATAATGCTTAGAAAACTAAGCAGGTCCTTTTGCGTCAATCTAACTCCAGTTAACAGTGGAAATCTTCAGGTAATGAGCAACAGGTGAAAAGCGAGCGGCAGCACGCGCCACAGGCACTCATCGCACGTTTGAAATATTACAGGGCCATTTCAGAGGAACGTTTCACCTGACAGATGCACTGCAGGGATGGCTAAAAGTATAGTTCAGCAGAAAATCAAGTGTGTACAATTTTGCACCTTCTACAGATGTAGTCAATAAGCCAAGACATCTTTGGCTGCTTCTTTAGTTTAGCGCTGGAGCTAAGAGGCTAATATTGCTAACGAACACTAGAAGTCAATAGTCACCCATGAATACATCCAAATACAACCAAAAAGCTATGTAAAAAAAAAAACAACAGAAATCGCTGAAGTAATCAGTAGCATTAATATACCAGTGTGCACACGAAAGGGAGTCGTGTTTCAGCACAACACCTGTTCAGCGACATGGTGAAGTTCTGGCCTTTGTCATGCTCACAAGTCATACTGTGTCCTAAATCACATCAACCAGTTTTAATGAAGACCTGGATGCAGTTTGAGAGAAGTTTAGATGATGTACTTGAGCAAAAGATTTGGGTGACTGTTGACTGTTCTAGTGTTTGTTAGCAACAACAAAAGCAAAATTTGGACTCCAAACATATCGTGATTACAAGCCCATACACAGACATTTTGGGGGGCAGGGGCTCAGAGGGGAAAAAAGTAGCTGTAACTTACTACATGTATAGTGATTGCATGTTTTTAGTGCTCTTCCTGCCATTTGTTTGGGTTTTGTTCATAATAGAGTTTGAACAACTACTAATTTCAACCAGTTGACTTATCATACAAAACAAAGCAGTTGATTAGTAAACAGCACCACATTAAAAGAAACAAACGAACAAAAAAAAACGCGTGTTTTGAATATCTGTGAAAAGTATTTTGTTAGTAGTTGCTAATAAAAGTTGTGGCTGCCCTCAGATGTATACAGACTACTGCAGACTGTCTGATGTAAACTGCAGGCTAAAATCAACACAGTTCTAGGAATCTTGTCTCTCTCTGAGACTCTTTCTGGCTTCCCTCACTTCCATTCATGGATATTATTATTATTATTTTGATAGGAAACAAACAATTGTTTATCAAGCTAAATGCTAGCAGCAAGCAGTTGCATTTCTACTCACTGATGAGCCATTCAGAGTGAGGTATTTGCCTTATCCCTGAACTGGGAAACAGTCATGATATCCCATTTGGAGAAATCATTCCTGAATTTTGTGTAAAGAAAGCCAGCGGAAGATCACTGGATCTCACTTTTACATCTTGTGTACGTCTTTTGGCTGCAGCTACAACTTCAAATTCAAACATTAGGACACAGACAGCTAACTGATTGCTTGAAGCATTGGCGGATAGCAACAGTTGCCATGCCGTGATTGTAGGGCTGAGAAAATATGGCTGAGCTTGATTGGCCATAATACAATAGCAGAGCTCACAGAAAACAAATCAAGTTTCATTATCTTGGATAAAAAGCTAAAGCAGACTGATCCTGTATCAGCAGTCTACTGTGCGCTC